CGTGCGTGTGTGTTGGTTATCATGTGGTTAATGTGATATGATTCTCGGCTGATAACTGGCTATCATTTCCACTTGTTGGTTGTGATGCGTCCCGACATGGTCTAAATGGCACTTAACTGACGTGTATAATTGTGTGGTGATGTGAACCCTGTAGTGTAATTTTCCCCGAGTGTGGAATCGTAATGGCGTATATAATTACAAGGTATTACGGTGAAATTTTTATACTGTATATGTGTTATATATATATGTGTACATACTCTACATTAAGTTCAGTATATGTTTCTCTCTTTCTCTCTTCCCTCTCTCTCTCTTTCTTTTTCTCTCTTTTACTCTCTCTCTCCCTCTCTCACCTTCCTTAATTTTCCTTACTTGAAACCAAACTTTGAACACCCGTGAGTAAATACTGAATTACAAAAGACAAATTGTTTCAGAATAATACATTATGTTTATACGAGTCGGTGGACAAATCCTGACTTACACCTGGTAGACAACAATACCCTTCAACACTTTTGTCTCCGTGTTCGTCGAGTCCAACACCTGGCTTTACTAACTGACCGGGCGGCTAGGTACCTGTATATTTTTCCCGTTTGAGGAGGTCTTTATTTCTTCATTTTATACACTACCTGGGGTTATACACAAGACCATCACTAACATAAATAAGATTGTTTTTTGTTTAATTCTTGTTATCGTATTTTATATGTTTATTAGTGTTAAGGTGTTTCAAATGGATGAAATTCTTACCTGTTTAAGTTTATGTAAAAGTTATTTGTGAAAAGTATGATCATGTATTGTTTGGGGATAGTTTTAATGTTGTTTGGAAAGTTTGGGTGTCCGTACGTGGTGGGGGAAGGAATGTAGGTAAAGTAGAGAGAGAGAGAGAAAGAGAGAGAGAGAGATTTAGCTATATGTAAAGTTCCGCTCTCCTATTAAGTGAAAGGAGAAATTATTTAATGGGGATAAAATATTAAATAAAACGTTAACATGTCATTACTATTACAAAATTAAAGTTAACTAAGCAATTATTTATTATACATTACTGTACCGTTCACTATACATTTATTTATTTATTGTTTACTTTCATCTCATTAATCTCCGTAAAGGGATTAATGACCTCATTCATTGGCAGTAATTATCAATTTACAACAGTCGTATATAACTCGTAGCTACTCTGGTAAACACACACACACACGATGTTGCTTTCTCCTACATCCTCCTTCTGTTTCCTCTCATCTTTATCTATCTATCATTCATCTTACTATTCTCTTATTTTTGACATTCATTTTTCTCTCTCTCAGGCTTCCTTCATTTGTTTCTTACTTCTCTATCTGATTCTTCCTTTCATCGTCTCATATTTCTCTATCTCATTCTTATCTTTACTTTTTAATACGTATTTATTCCTCTCTTCCTATCTACCTCCTCACGGTTCTATGCTGCAGTATGCTGGAGGTACATACAAGTAGCGACTACCTCACTTGCATGACATTCAACCGGGCATAGAGAAATTTTCAACAGATGTTTCAGTGTCGCTTCAGAATATCTAACGTTTAAAGGTGATGGTCAATGGTTGAGGCGTGTGGGAGACGCCTATAACACGCTCTTACTTGTGTTGACTCGGGGTCCCCATGGGGTTATTATATTCTGGCCTATTACTTGTTTATTGTTGCTGTTACTATAGAGGATGTATAGATTCTGGGAAAAAAATATTGATTTTTAAATTCTAGATTGTTTCGTTCTGGAAGCATCACATAACACAAGTATATTATGTGTGTGAACGTAATCCATCATTCACGACCATATACACGTCTTTATATCCCAAGTAAATAGCTTTTCAAATTTGGAATATACACACACACACACACACACACACACATACATACACACACACCTCCTAACATTCACTATTAATATTCGTTGCTGTTAGAAGGTGGTACAAGAAACATGTATCGACGGTCTCTGAGTGTCATTGTCGTTACGTGACGTAGATACAGATCTTGGCCCTCTCAACACCACATTTAGGTCTCGGGGGAACAGAAACAACAGCCCCTCCAACACCTTCTTCCCTTTAGGCCGAAATCGTCAGCAGAAAAAAAAAATCCTGATCGAGGTTGCCAGCCGTCTCCTAGCTGCAGCGGATAGTGGTGGAACCTAGGCTATTCGCCCCTCTCATGAATGCTAAGTGGATGGAGGAATTGTATGTCTATCTCGGGTCTGACTACTTAGGCGCACCTCGTAATTGGTGGCCTCCAGTTGTCATCTAGGGCGGTGTAGCTGCTGGAGGAGGGACCCGCCCTTTGTAGCACAAGTGTGGAGACGTGTTGTGTTGTAGTAGTGAGTATGGTGCTGGTGTTGGTATAGTATTAGGGAGTTCACAGTGTGTGTGTGTGTCTGTGTGTTTCGTCGGTTCATCGTGATGTGGTATATAATGGAAGTCGATGTTATAGCATAGTTTTAGGACCATCACTCTATACGTGAGAGGAGAGAGAGACATAGGAGGAAGAGGAACGTTTATTTACTCTCAGGACGTAAGTAAATGGTAACAATGCAGTGACTGGCTTGGTATAGATGATATGGACTGGGTTTCACCGTTTAATGAGTGAGTAAATGATGGTGTATCTTTTGAGGTAGCGGAGTGATCGATGTTATTGTGGTATTAGAACACTCACAGCGCTTTTGTATTGGTGTCTAGGGTGTATTGAAGGGTAGGGTGGGGGCGATGGACGGGAAGATCGCGTTTATCACCTCCATAGCTGTTGGTGTATAGGTGTGTGTGTAATATGTTCATTCTATTGTGATTTTACTACTGTTTTGGTCTACTCAGGGGAGGAGAACGCGTTTATTTACAAAGGTTTGATTCATAGTTGTAAAATATATATCTCCCAGTATGGTAATGCATCTGAGAATTAGTTGTATATATCCGAGGAATTTTCGCAATATATTTGTTTTATTTACGTCCGCATACAAGTTTATTATTATTATTATTATTATTATTATTATTATTATTATTATTATTATTATTATTATAGTAGTTGTAGTGATAGTAATAGTAGCAGTGGTAGTAGTAATAGAAGTAATTGTGGTATCATTATTATTATCATAAATACGAGTGCAGTGTGTCGCTCTTTTCGCTCTATTCATTAAAGACTTTTACTAACACCGACGCCCGTCCGGGAAAAAAAAAAAAAACCTCCCGATCTCTTTAATGTTCCGTAAAATACTTAGCTTTAGGAATTTGTTCAACGTTCCCTGTATTTCATAATCCGTTTTGCATCATTCTGAATATATGTTAATCCGACACATCAAAGAGGGGAGCGCGGGCGGGGAATTTTAAATGACTTGAAACCGTCCCTAAATATGTTTTCGTCACATACTTACACGATTCAGTATGACACCATCACAACCACTAACAAATATACGTGTTGACTATTTTTCGGGGTAAATGCTTCGTTTGACACGTGATATCTCTAAGCTTGGGTGATATATTCCTAACTGGGAAAAAAAAATGAGGGAAATTAGCATGTGTGATATTCCTGGGATGTGAAAAGTATTCTTGGTAAATTGTGGGAATATTAGGGGGGAGGGGGGTGTAGGGAGGGGGGGGTAGGTAATGTTGTTTGTGAATATCATGCGTTCATCAGCCGAGTTGTGGATGTTGTTTTATAGTTATTATTACCATTCGTTAGTTCGTGTTGTTTCTAAATGAAAATATAGTTTTTGTGGTGGACAGAGTTCAGTTGGATCTATTGTCATCTATATTTGATTATCTATTTCAATATTTTTTTTTATGTTTTTTTTTTCATTTTCATTCATGTGTTTGGATTCGTTTGACTGTTTTTGTTTGGTGGCTTATTTGTTTGTTTCGTAAATATATTAATGAACAAAAATTAAGGCAAATACGTGAGAGAGAGAGAGAGATCCAAAACAGGACTCGAGGATCTGCTGAGGAAGGGGGTGGGGGAGAGTGGGAGAAGGAGGAAGGAAGAAGGGGAATAGGAGGAGGAGGTAAGGAAGATGATCCCTTAATCACCGCCAGGTAAGTACTACACAGGGAGGTAACGGCACCTGATAGTGACGGCCAGGTAACACTAGTTCTGGACTCCAATTTGTGGTTGAGTTACCGACCGTAGTATAAACCCAGGCGGTGTGAGGCGGGCAGGTGGTGGTTACCTCCCTGACACTCTACGCTTACACCCGCGACCCCTCCACGCCCACGCTCACGACCCTTCCACGCCCACACTCACGATCCCCTCCATGTCCACGCTCACGATCCTTCCACCTCCACAGACCGGCAACCCCTCCACGCCCACACTCACGACTTCTCCAGGCCCACACTTAAACCCCTCCACGCCCACACTCACGACTTCTCCAGGCCCACACTTAAACCCCTCCACGCCCACACTCACGACTTCTCCAGGCCCACACTTAAGACCCCTCAACGCCCACAGTTACTACCCCAGGCCCACACTAACTACCCTCAACGCCCAAAGTAACACTATACATCAACCTTCAACCAACACCCACAGCTTCTGCAGGATGTTGGTTCTCACAAAGTATCATACTTTACCTTGTTGTTTGGTGTGACTCATTAAGGTACCATGATAGAGTGCGTTGTGGATAGTTTGTTTATGATCTGATATGGAAACTTTGTATTTAGAAACAACTACACAAATACCGGGTGTATTGATGTCTTAATTATCAATACGTAAACAGAGGCGGTGCTTATGTGGCTCTTGGTGAGATTATCATCGTGTCTGAAGAAGTAATGGAGGAATATTTAATAGATTATATATATATATATATATACATACACAAAAGGTTTCCTTCATTATTTTAGGAACCAATACTGTATATATTATATGGCCGTAGAAATAACTTGGTGGATCAGAGGTAAATAAATTAAGTCGTGTGTACCTAAAGGTGTAGGTTCAAGAGATCAACAAGGTAATATTTAAGTATATGACGTAATGACTGTGAAACTAACCAGGTTCTTTTTCTTGTTACAGAGTGTCTTGACGGAGTTCTCTGGTGTGCTGTGGGCGGCCACGAACGGTCGGGCGTCTCTCAGAACGGTGACGGTGGCACTGCCTCGCACTTGGAGAACAGACGCCCTAACCTGTTCCCTCCTCACGCCTCTTACTGCCGCCACCACGCCCACAGACGCCCACATCCGTATCACGTCGGCGCACCCGGTGTTTGGATCACGCCCCTGGGCTCAGCAAAGCCAAGGATGCGGACGGCAGGGAGATTACATCCAGATGGGCGGTGACCTCCTAAGGGCCACCACTAATGACAGCTACGTGCACGCTGCCCGCCTCCTGCTGGTTGAATGGGTCAAGTTTCGGTGGGGAGTGTTTGAGGAGCGTGGTTACCCGGACGACCCACTCTACCCACCCACCTTCCGCGACCCCAAGACCAATGCACCACGACCCAACACCTGTAACACCCACAAAATCAGTCCTGCACCCTTCTGCAGCACTGCCGCCCACACTCCTGAAGCACCCACCAAGCACAACGCTCAGTGTAATGGCCGCCCCGCCTGGGATATCATACTTCAGTCACAAGATTTTATCGAAGGAAGGTGAGTCCCCTAATCCCTGTTAAAGTCTCAATAATGCAAAATCGTGAGTTACGACCATTGATTTTTGTTTGGGATTCAGACCCGATGACACTTTATTTATGCATTTCCAATATTGTTTTCTTCAGGAATGGCCCGACGAATTCCACCGCTCCACTGTTGCCGTCGCTGCGTTTCGTGCAAGAGAGTGCTGCACGTATCGTGCTGGTGGTGGAAGATACAGCTGTTATGAACCTGCAGAGGCGTTGGGAGTTCGTCCGTAAAGCTGTACGACGTGTTGTGGTGTACGACGTGCCGGACGGAGACCACGTTGCCCTCGTCGTCTTTAACTCTGTCGCCCACACCGCCGCCCCACTCTCTAAGATGGACTCACTCTCTGATGTTCGACAGCGTGTTGGTTCCTCTTTGCCACGTAATCCATCTCCAGTGCCGGAGAGCAACAAATGTGTCCTGTGTGGAATACAGGAGGCCCTCAAAGCCCTGGACGCCGACCCTGCTGGAGCTGCCGGTGCCACGATCATCCTGGTGACCACCGGGAAGAGTGCAGTTCGCGAGAGAGAGCTTGATGAGATGACTCGCCTGGCCACCAGCCGCAGCGTCAGGGTGGACACAGTGCTCTATCCCTTGACTGAGCGCCGTGGGGGAGGCACCGCCACTGACGGCATTCAGTCCTTGGTGGCAGCCACACGAGGCTCCTCATTCTCTGTCATGGACGAGGGTGTTGGCAACGACTCAAAAGTGAGCATGATGGTGGCCCTCATGGACGCACTCCTGGCCGCTGTGCGTCGCAGTGAGCCTCCTGCAGCTCCAGGTGCTCCTGTTATTATCCACAGCACAGCCTACCCTGGCGGCATTGCATCCATGTCTGTAGGAGATTTCTCCTTGGATGACTCTCTTGGCTCTAATGCCCGTTTCTCCATCTACTATTACGACTTGAACCACGTGGGTAACACTGTACAGCTGACAGCACCTTCAGGGAAAACTTTTGCTTCTGTTAACATGCAAGAAGAAGACGGTGATGCCAATGTCATTTTTGTTAACATCCCTAATGCAGAGAGAGGTCAGTGGCAGTACCGTGTAGAGAACCGCGCTGACTCCCACCAGGGCCTCCACATCCAGGTGACAGCCAAGGAGAGCAGTGCACGCAAGATCAGTCTCAGACTCTGGATCAATGCCCCTAACAGTGCCATTAACGCCACTGACCCTTCGGCGCCTGTCATTATCTATGCTGAAGTGAAAGACGGTGAGGTGCCTGTCATCAATGCCAAGGTGACAGCCAAGCTGCAGCGTCTCGGCACCAACACCACCGGCAGCAACTACGACTCCATCCTGGTCGACCTCTTTGACAATGGTTTTGGAGGTGAATATAATATTCAGTATTCTTACTTGTTCTTGTTGTCATTTTTTAAATAAAAGTAAGGGAAATTTCGCCCCTAAACTCGCCGTGAAATTATCCTTTTAAATGCTTACTTCAAAAGGCAGATACACCTAAAACGTATAGAGGGTATATTGAGAAATATTAGTTATATTCAATAGTGATGTTACTCATGATTTTCTTCCTTTCTTTCTCACAGATCCAGACATCACTGGGGGTGACGGTGTGTACTCGCGGTACCTGCCCAAGCTTCAGGGCGGGCCAGGCCACTACCAGCTCAGTGTTGCAGTCGACCAAAACAGTGGCCTCGCCCTAGCACCCATCAGCGACGCCTTCACCCGTCATGGTCGCATGTATGCCGACAAAGAGCAACAGGTTTGCTGCGGGAGCATCATCAAATATGAGCACGTCAAACCTGTGCCACCCTTCCAGCGCTCCATGATCTATGGTGTGCTAGACGTGGTGTCACCACCGCCCGACAATGACATTGTGCCGCCCACCCGGATTCTTGACCTCCGCTCCTTCGTCAACCTCACTACCCGTGAGGTGTCTCTGCGCTGGACGGCGCCTGGAGACGACTATGACTGGGATCGCGCCCACCATTACGAGGCTGTGTTGGCCAGATCTTGGGCACAGGCCAAGGCCTTTGATGGTGATCGTATCAGTGGCATGCCAGTGCCGGTACTGGTAGGCACGGAACAGGCGGTGGCTATCCAGGTTGACCGGTACGACCAAATGGTTTATGTGGCCATCCGTGCCGTGGACGAGAAGGCCAACCGTGGAGGTGTGAGTAACATAGCCTCACTGTGGGTGCCTGAGCCGCCCACCACGCCGCCCCTCATGACTAGCCCCCGCACTATAGAGCCCACTAGTGACATGAACGAGCCACAGGGCCGTGGGGTGACCCAACCCGTGCGAGTCGCTGGCATCAACCTGGAGGACATGGCTGTCATCATCGGGTCAGTGGGAGGATTCCTGATCATAGTGGCAGTTCTCGCCACCTTTTGTTATTGTCACGTGGCCCGTCGACGTCGCCACCAACACAAGAACGAGAGTGAAAAACTGGAGGCAAACCGCAGCGTGATGATCAAAACCAACTCCACCCTCATGGTAGACCAGGACGAGAGCCACGACTCAGTAGACAGTGTTGTCAAGGATGGAGAGGTAGCAGTTGCTAAAGATGGCAGACCTCTGTCTCCCATACAGTCGTGGGGTGTGTCCAAACTGTTGCAGGAACACGAGCGTCGAGTATCTATGACGAGCGGGCCCCTGGTTGAGGCCTCCGGCTCCCTGGCTCACTACCAAAACCTGCAGGACCCTTTTCCCGACGTAACCCTCACCGGCACTCACTCCTACCCTAGCTCACAGACGCCCTCCACAACACACTCCGACCCCCCGGCCTATCAACCTCCTTATACCACTGACGCTTACGCCCCCTACCCTTACCCTTACCACCCCGGCTACAGCCATGAGGAGCTTCCACCCTACACCCCGGGCCTCTCCTCACAGTCGTCTCAGGCCTCCACGGCATACACCCATGAGATTGCCTCACAGCCCTCAGAAATGTCCTACCCTGTTGACCCTGCCAACTATCCAGCAGAGATGCCGTCCTTCGTTGGCGAGATCGCTTACAGCCAAGCCCAGCTACCCATGTATGCCCCCTGCCCTGAGGAGGCCATCATCATCACCAGCCAGGCTCCCGTGCGGTCTAAGGTTCCCCCGCCAGTAGCGCCCAAGCCGCCCCTAGCTGCCCGCGCCGCTGCCGTCACAGCCGCTGCTGCGACAACAGCGTCCGTGGAACCGAAGCGTCGTAACGTGACTCAAGTGTGAGGTGTCCCCAGCCCCCCAAGCATCCGCCATAAGAACGCTTTAAGTGTCAATATCATTGTTGTCATCTGCTTTTTCACCTCCCGCCTCCCCCTTCCTCTCTTCCCTCCCGAATCTCTTTTGTATGGAGTTTTTTCAACGTATGATAAGAATTTGTTGTGTATGTAAAATAAGTGTCCATGTGTATGGAAAAAACAATTGTATGTTGTACAGAATGTTGTTGATTGTAAGCTTTGCTCACATCTAGTCATAACTGTATAGAGTTTTAGGTTGCCTCGGCAGTCCCCTCCGGCAGTAGGCGCTCAAGAGGGGGCTTCCGATGACCTCATGAACAGCGAACATGTGGCGTCCTCTCGCCCCGCACCACTGTAACTGATCTCAATATATCTTGTATGTCTGTGATAAAATTCGTAAAATAAAGACAATCATTAATGGATATCGTTTTGTGTGTGCGTCAGTGTCCTCACATAACCACTTGTAAGAAAGAAATACAAAAGATCAGAGAGGAAAAATAAAAAGATAAAATTATATACAAAGAAAATGAAGAAAACACATTAATACATGAGACTTAGAATAAAGAAAAAATCATATACCTAATAAAAAGAAAAATATACATACAAGAAAAAAATATAAATAATAAGCATAAAAGAAAATAACAGAACAAAATTAGCAAACAAATCAGTGAAATGTATTCCACCATGTTATTAACTACCTCCTTAAACAGTGAAAATAAATACAGTAAATAAAATACAAAAAATAAATAAAAAAATACATGACTTTCAGATTCTTCAAAACGTCTACATGTACGGGGAAAATTTTAGGGTTGGTTTTCGTGGTAAGATTTAGTGAGAGCAAATGGTTACAGAGCGATCACAACCACCAACTACAGCACAAGCAAAATGAGTGGCGTTACTGGCGTTACTGGGTCTCTCTCTCTCTCTCTCTCCACCCTATTCTTCAATATTTACTAAGTGGGAACACAAATTCCATATCAAATCAAACTGTAATTTTATTCAAGTTATATGTCAACTCAGAGATCATTCTTAAGTTCAATTCAAGATTCAACAGAAAGTCAAATTAGATTCTCTGTAGTGGTTTATACTTTCTCTTTTCTCTAATTGCGTCTACTTTTTCTTTCTTTCTTTTCTTTTATTTTTCCTCTCTCTTTCTTTTTCATTTCTTCTGTTTATTCTCCTGTTTTTTCTATACGTTTTCTTCTTCAATTTTTGTCCTTCTTTCTTTTTTGCTGTTCCTTCCTTCTTCTCTATGCCATCACTTGTTTCTCGTTCTCTCTTCTCAATCCTTCCTTCCTTCCTTCCTCTCGTCATTCATTCTTCTTTCTACGTCTTTCATTTCTTTCGTTCTCCCCTCCTCCTGTTTCCTGTCCATTCCTTTGTTTCCTTCCTCCTACTTTATTTTTTTCCTTTTCTCTTTCTTCTTTCCACTGCTTACCGTTCTTCCCTTTCTTCCTTCCTCTTTTCCACATCATTCCTTCTTCGCCCTATCGTTTCATTTCCCCTTCTTTATCTCCGTTTCTTCCTTCCTTCCTTCCTTCCTTCCTTCACTTTATTCTTCTCTTCCCATTTATCCTTCTTTCTCGTCTCCTCTCGTTTGCCTTAAGATATTAGTTCGAAAATATGAATAATAAATTGAAATATACGAGAGCGAGACAGAACTGACAGATATAACGAAAGAAAAAATAGAGGCTAAAAGAAAACAGATGAAAAAAAAAGATGATTGACAAAGAAAAAAAAATAAGAGGAACTGAAAAAACGTAATAAAAAAATAATCATCTTTTCTCGTGCTTCACCTCCCTCTCTCAGTATCTCCCACTCACCTCCCTCTCTCAGTACCTCCCACTCACTCCTCACCCTTAGTACCTCCCACTCACCCCTCTCCCTCAGTACCACCCATCCTGTTCTTCCTCCCTCCCTCCTCCCCCCTTCAGATTGTCTCTACCAGTCATCCTTCACTCCTTCCTCCTTCAGATTGTCTCTACCAGCCATCCTTCACTCCTTCCTCCTTCAGATTGTCTCTACCAGCCATCCTTCACTCCTTCCTCCTTCAGATTGTCTCTACCGGCCCTCCTGCAGCAGGTAGTGGCGGGGGAGCTTCTGTGTATCCCTGACAGTCGCGTCACCCGCAGGACACCACCACCACCACCACCACCTCATCGATTTTTGAGTCGCCATCCCCAGTAGGCCGGAGGTGGTGCCCAGGTTAAACCATGGGGGAGATAAACCATGGGGGAGATAAACCATGTGGGGAGATAAACCATGGGGGAAATAAACCATGTGGGGAGATAAACCACTGGGGAGAAGAGAAATAAACCATACGAGAGAAGGAAGATAAACCATGGGGGAGAATGGAGATAAAAAAAATGTGAGAGAAGAATTAAACCATGGAAGAAACTAAACCACTGACAGGATTTCAATATTGTGACGTACTGTAGTTTAACTAAGATGGGAGGTTAAACAAACTGGTATTTTGGGGTGGTTAAACCATTGAGACGATGATAAAACAAGAGAGAATGAAGGGAAAATAATAAACCGAGAGAGAGAGAGACTAAAGAGAAAGATGATAAACCAATACAGACAATAAACCAATAGAAATAATAAACCAATAAACCAAGATATATAATAAATAGGTAACTTAATAAACCACGAGAGAAGAAAATAAATGATAAACCAAAAGACGATAAACCAGTACAAATTATAAACCAAGAAAGATAAATACACCAAAACAGACAATAAAAGTGAGATGAAGAATATGAAAATGTGAACGAGGAAGAGGAAATGGAGGAAAGGGGAAGGAAATTAATGAAAAGGGGTAGAAATGAATGGAGGAAAAGGGAAAGAGAGGAAACAAGGGAGCTTACATGAAGTGAAAATGAGAAAATAAGACGGAAGGGAGATTAAAAAAGAGGGCAGGGAGATTAAAAACCAAGGAAGAGGAAGGTTAGCGGAGAGTCAAGGGTGATTAGATTCAGACAAGGACCAGGGAGATAAAATAAGGAGAAGGGGAACACTCAGGGAGATTACTGTATAGCAGGTACCAGAGAGATTCAAGTACGTACCAGGGAGATAAAAGCAAGGCGAGGGAGATTAAGGCATGTCCTAGGGAGAGCTAAGCAGTGGCCAGGGAGATTAAAGCATGTCCTAGGGAGATAAAATCAGTGAAAATGGAACATACAGCAGGTACAAGGGAGATTGAAGCAGGTGCCAGGGAGCTTAAAGCATGCGCTGGTGAGATTAAACCAAGGATTTCACTTAAGCCATGGGAGATTAAAATCAGAGACTAAGATGATTAAACCACACGAGAGGGAGAATATTCCGGGAGTAAGGGAGCATAAATTAGGATCGAGGGAGATTAAAATAGGGTGAAAAAGATTGACTAAATAAAAAAGACGTGCCTAACCTAATCTAACCTAGGAACTTAAACTGACAATCAATTAACACGAACAAATAAAAATAAACCAAATTGAAAACAAAAATAGAATGAGAGCGATTGAAGATTCTAACTCACTTATGGGAAGGATTAAACCAATGAGAAAGGAGGTAAAATACACAAGAAAGTAGTGGTCAATGTTTAAACCAAGATGGAGGGAGGTTAAACCTTTAGTGAGATGGATTAGGCTAAGAGAGAGGAAGATTAAGGGAGGGAGACTTTTTAACCAATAAGGAGGGAGCTTAAGTTAAGGGAGAGATAAATTGTAAACAACAGGATCGAACTTAAATTAAGGGAGAGAGTTTTTAACAAATAGGGAGGAAACTTAAATTAAGGGAGAGGTAACTTTAGCGAGGAGTAAGGGAGCTTGGATATATTATAAAGGAAGTGCTTGACGATAAAGGGAGATTAGAGAAAAGGGAGAAGTTTAGTCCAAGTGGCAGGATGTTAAACCGGAGAGAGAGAGAGAGAGCGCTTGAGTCAATAACGAATGGAATTTGAGCCCCGTAAGATTGAATGAGTGACGTGAGAATTTAAGCCACGGAAGGGAGCTTAAGTAAGAACGAGGGAGCATACAGTTCTTGAGAGGTAGCTTAAATCGTCGAGTGAGGGAGCTTAAATTTAGGGTAGGGGTTTTGTATCCGCAGCTAGGGAGCTTAATCCAAGGAACAAGGGTGCTTAAGCCAAAGAGCGAGGGTGCTGAAGCCAAAGAGAAAGGGAGCTTAAACCAGAACGAGGAAGTTAAAGCAAGAAGCAGAGAGCATAGACCCAAAGAACAGGGAGCTTAATCCAAGGAACAGGGGGCTTAAACTATAGAACAGGGAGCTTAAACCAAGGGTGATAGGGCTTAAGATCAAGGGTGAGCCACACGGAAGGGAGGAATGGCCTTGTCACTTTGGCACTCCCTCATTTAAAGCAGGTTATTGTTTCCTCCTGCTGGAGAGAGAGAGAGAGAGAGAGAGAGAGAGAGAGAGTCAGTCTGTGTATGTAAGTGTCAGTCTGTGTGTGTGTGTGTGTAGGTCTCTGCAGTGTCCTTCAGGAAAGTCAGCACCAACTGGGTTAGGAGCGGGGAGTCGTGGCGGGAGTGAAGTACTGTACAGTAATCCCTGGCCTCACACCGGCATTAGGTCGGAAGGAGAGGGAGAGAGAGAGGAGGTTTACCATGCTCTGGGAAATAGGGTGTTAGGGGGGAAGGGATGAGAGGGATGGGGTAGGGAGAGAAGGGATGAGAGGAAGGAAGGGGTGGGGTGGGGGAATGGAGGGAAGGGATGGGAGAAGGAAGACAAAACGAGAGAGAAAAAAGAATGAGGAGAGGGAATGGAGAGAGATAGTGGAGGAAAGAGGAAGGCTGGGAAGGGAAGGGAAGGGCTGGGAAGGGAAGGGAAGGGGTTTGAGTGAGAATATGTGGAATTATTCAACTGCGTAACGAGAGCTTGTTAACAACCTCCCAGTGAAACACGATGGTGCCGCGACCACAGTGTAAACACAGGGGTCGTGTGGCTCTGTGTGTGTTTGGGAAGAGGGGGGAAAGAGGGGGTGTTAAATACGCTATAGAGGGAATTACAGCTGATAGTGAGGAGAGGAGATAGAGAGATAGAGCGTGAGAGAGAGAGAGAGAGAGAGAGAGAGAGAGAGAGAGAGAGAGAGAGAGAGAGAGAGAGAGAGAGAGGAATTAGATGAAAATGCATACATACATACATACATACATACGTACACACATACGTACTTACATACATACATACATACATACATACATACATAAGAAAAAGGAAAAGTACAGATAAACAAACAGATAAAAGTGACAGAAAATAAAATAAGTGGAAATCAGATCACTTTAAAAATAACATTATCCTTCCCAGCATCAGAGAGGAGATGACGGGAAGCTTTTAAAGGAATTAATTCACTAATGATTAAGATTAACTTACCTCCTATGTCACATTTTCAACTCATTATATCCTAGTGGGCTCAATGATTCCATGTTATAAA